GTGGCCTGTTACAAACTGGTCAGGGGGGATCAGAAGGCATTGGGGGAGTCACTGTTCCCCCGAGCACAGCCAGGAGTGACCAGGAACAACGGTCACAAGCTAGTAGAGGGTAGATTTAGGTTAGACATAAGAAGGCGCTATTTCACGGTCAGGGCGGCTAGGGTCTGGAACCAACTTCCAAGGGAGGTGGTGCAGGCTCCTACCCTGGAGGTTTTTAAGAAGAGGTTAGATGAACACCTTGCTGGGGTCGTTTGACCCCAGTACTCTTTCCTGCCATGGCAGGGGGTTGGACTAGATGATCTTCTCATGTCCCTTCCGACCCTAGAAACTATGAAACTATAATTCTGAATATTTGTAGATACTGTATCGGGTGATAGAGTTCTCTTCTCTCAGAACTACAGCCTCTGACTCTTTCTGTCCCAGAGGTGTCATTTTTTCTTGGTGATTTAGCTGAGGTGTCAAAGAGCCTTAAAATTCCTATATTCCAGATGTGATCAAGACCTAGATATTGGCAGTACTTGGGGAATTTGTGTTATTTCAATTATTGCTTCCAGTAATTAAATGTTTCAGTATATGATTAGGATTAGTTTACCATAAAACCCCCAAACAGAAAGTTCTTAACTTCACAAAGTTGTTGAAGTACCTGTGGACTGGCCCCATACAACTCATTCAGCCCATGGGGCTGGCTGAGATTGACACCCCTGCTCCAATAGCATTCACTTGGTAACTAAATTAAGCCCTGGATTCTTCCTCACTTATCCCTGTTTTCTTTTCTTTTTAGCTAAAAAGGCTTATGTAACAGAGTGGATTGCGCCAAGAAAATGTGTTTGGGATTGTGTTGTAGGGCAGGAGCTGGTAAAAACTAAACTAACTCTTACAGATAACTCATCTTTGGGGAAAACCAATGGAAGTCCTTTATTTTATGCCCTAGGACCATTTTGTTTGTTGCTTGTTCAATTGTGTACACATAAACTGATTCTACAAAATTTTAACTGCTTTTGAATCTTCTGGAATGCCTTTCCCATTTCTTTGCCTGAGTGTCTGTGTGTATTTTCTCAGGTCTTTCAGTCCCAGCTGTTCCTGGAGCACTTGGTCCTCTTGCAATCACCACCTCAGCAGTGACTGGACGAATGGCTATTCCTGGAGTTGCAGGAGTTCCAGGAAATTCTGTTTTGCTTGTCAGCAACCTAAATCCTGATGTAAGCTTACTGTGTGGAATCACTGCAAGTATTTAATAGTTTGGTATTAAAGTAAAACACGTTCAAATGTTTCTTTCTTCAAAATCTGAACTGGAAAGTAGACAAAGGGATAACAGAGTAAGATCTTAGGTTGATCATATTGGAAATAGCATAACTTCCATATGATTTGCTTTAAGGAACTTTCCATTCCTCCCATTGTCAATACTGCAAAGCAGTATCGGAGAACCTTAGAGCCTGAACATTCTCAAAAACAAATATAACATAGTGACATAAAATTTCTTCATTGAGCCTTAGTATTCTGATGAAAAATTATTTTGTCTGTTGATAAAGTAACATTTATTATAAATATGTGAAACTGCTGTTTGTTTTATACTCAGTGAGATTTACTTACTTCCACTATAGCTTTTCAGTACTATACTAACTAAAATAAAAGGACCTTTTTCATATTGCCAGGATTTAAAGGTTTAAATTCTGTTTTTTCATACATGGCTTCCAGTTAATTGAATTGATTATGTAGAGTGCTTCCAGTATATAACCAAGCAAGGAACAAAGAAGTCTTCATTGTCTTCATAATCTCTGGCTACTGACTTTGTTGTCTGACCTGGAATAAAACTATGAAGTATAAGGCATTAGAAAGCATAGGAACTGAGAGCTATGTAACAGGAGTTGTATTGTGCTGATTATAATTGTCGAATGCTGTCTGTCCTCTTCTGTTGATTGCCCAAAATGATGACCCTCTTTGTTCCTAAGTGGGATTATACTTTTGAAAGTGTGTGCATTTTGACAGAGACCAAATATTTTTAGAGGCTTTCTTGTTTCATTTAATATCCATCACAGAATCTAAGAAGATGATTCAAAATGTTAAGTGAGCACGACAGTCTAAGCTAACAAAATGATACCAAACTTTTGAAAAGCTAATGTAAAATAGAGAAAGTTAACATTTTCGTCTGCGACAGTGTATCTTTTGGTGACGGACATAAGGGGACTGTTTCTGCTTTCAAGTAAGCGTTTGGACTAGATTTTTTTCCCATGGCTGCAAGCTTACAAATCCAGTTGACTTCAGTTGAATTAAACACTGCTTCTTCCATGTAGCACCTAGCCGTGGAGTTGGGCATGCAGCAGGAGCTCCAGCAGAAGCAGTAACTCCTGGGTATCGCACACTGGAAGCATATCTTTCCCTCCTCCACAAAACGTGTACTTTTCTTTGTTCATACATAGCAAGTCAACATAGGTAAACTTTGACCTTGTTTCAAGATGCATTTAAAGACAATGGTTTATTCTTATAGAGCCATCTATACTGCTGTGTTTCTTTAAAACTGCCATGTTCTCTGTGATTTAACATTTTTATTAATAGTTATTTTCCCCATAAAGACTTAGGATTAGAGATGCCGATGCTCTATTTGGACTCTAGTGTATTGTATGTACAACTTAATCTATATAAATGGTAATCCTGTGAGAGTAACAAGTATTGTGACTTCAAGAGGATATGGAAGATATGGCAATAGTATTTCTTATCAAAACTGTGGAAAGTGTTTTCTCACCTTTTGGAACCATGGTGGTCCCTGAGAGCTGTCAGGATTCCAAAACTGCAACCAAGCTTAACTTCTTTAATAAAATACACTTTAATCCAAAAGACTGAGATGATTACAATTGTTTCTCTTGGATCTAGGCTTTGGTCACTCAAGTCTTTGAAATACTGCTGTCATTACTAAGGGCTGTTCTAGAAGACTATATAGCAGTCACTGCTAATTAGGGATGTGACAGGTTAACCAATTGATATGCCTAGTGATAACTGGTTAGCTTACCAGATATTGTTTAGGATATTGTTTAGCGCAGGGCTGGGCACAGTCTGGTAGGGAAGGTAGGGAAGGGAAGCCATGCAGTGCCCCAGCAGGAATTGGAGGCAGCAGGGCAAGCAAGAGCGGAGGGGAGGGGGACTAGTACCCATAACCCAAGCAATTATCTGCTCTTTCACAGGCACAAAGTGCTTCCTTCTCTGCAGCGCACCTCCCCACCCCACCGGCTTCCAGCAGCAGCTGTGTCCAAGCTGCTGTGTTATCAGTTAATTGCTTAACTGATGGAATTAGAGAAGGTTAATTGTAAATTTTTCCTTCCCTACTGCTATTGTGAAATATAGCTGTCCAGTCAGCTGCTGAACGGTGATAGCTGCAGGGAGAATATTTCAAAACTTCCCAAGGAATTCATTCCCTGTTTGTTTCTAGGTGCTGACTTCAGACTGTTAATGCCTTATCTCATTCATCCTGGCTGAGATACTGCCCCTTCATCCTTCCTTTTTGTATTGGTCCCATATTTGACCTTGTCTTTGGTTTCTATCAAATTTCCCACTGGGTTGGTACCCCTAGATATGCCCTAGAAAGCTCATTAGATTTGGTGTAATTCTTTGTTTGCAGCTAAACTAATTTTCTGTCTTAATGTCATAGAAGAGAGTTTCCTTCTCAGAAAATGAATTCAGCCAGATTTCATGTTAAAGTTTGAATATTGTTTTATACCAAGCCACTGCATCTACAAATTATATACTTTTTCTGCACCTATTCCTAGCTGCTTGTACAGAAATTTCTGACACGAGCAGTTTAACTCACCCTTATCAAAAGAACAAGCAGATTTACCACCCCTATGACTATGTTCACTATGTGTAAGCTGTGCACTCCCTATTTCGTATGAGGCCTGAGTAAGTAAACAATGCTGGCCTTTGAGGCAGGGGGCAGCAGACCATTTCCTCTGAATAGGATTATGTGAAATACTGCTAAAATGCTGTCTGCCTCTGCTGGTGCTGGGAAAGGAATTGGCACATCTCTTATTGTAGAAAAAATTTCATGTGACCAACTAAGACACTAATTATAGGTCTTATATTTAGATGTGCAATGGTTGCTGGTATGTGGCAAGCCTTCAACGCTATCATGTGGCAGAATGTCTTTGTTCATAGAAGGTCTAATGTATGGTTCATCACTAGTATTTAAGGAGTTAATTAGGGATTTAGTTAAAAATCTGAAGATTTTCTTTCAAAAACTAAAATGTTTATTTTCCCTTCAATTTCTGCACACCTTTCCTATAGAATTTTTATAGTTGCATGAATTTTTTAAAAAGGGAAGTTTTAAATAGAGATAGAAAACGATTAAGATAAAGAGCAAATATGTAACCCAAATGACTATTTTTAATTTTACTTATGTTCTCTGCTCTTTGGGAAATAATGTTCAAAACTAATTCCTTTTGTACTTTGTGTTCCTGTAAGCTCTTATTTAACAAACTAGCACACTTAAGCAAATATTTTATCTAATAGTACAAGTGCAGGTGTTTTGCACGTGCTCTGTAAGATCCTAATTTGAAAATAAGAATTGGTCCATGCAAATTATCTTCATTTAGTAGCTATTTATTTTAAGTTTAGAAGTAATGGGCAGGTTTTCACTACTGAAAAATATTGTTGAAAATTCAGTATCTAGGATTATGAACCATTAGAGATTTTAAAATAATTTCAGCAATGCTCTTTGCATTCTTACCAAATGCATAACAAGAAATGTACTATATCGTATCCATTCATGACAACAGATGAAGCTGTTGAGTGGAAAATAACTTTTTAACTTGCAATAATTGGTAACCAAAGTAATAGACTATAAATGTTCTTAGATTACTTTCAAACATTTACGTGGTCTTAAATATAATTCTCCTACCTTGTCATTTTCATAGGCTGTCACACCACATGGACTCTTTATCCTATTCGGTAAGTTCTTTATTATGTCTGTTATTACAGAACATTATTTAAAACATACTGTGAGAAATTACAGGGCTAATATTATTGCTTATTTACTTTAACTGGCTTTGAATAATTTTGTTTTTAAAAAGTTTTATTTCTTTATTCAGGAAAATATAGTTGTCAGCTTGATTCCTCTGGAGTTGCTTACATGCATGGTGATGTTGCAGGTTTTCCAATAGTAATTCCAAGGGTGCATGCTGGACTTCAGATAACTTGAATCAGTAGTAACAGGGCATCAAGACAGAACATTTAAAAGCAGGACAAATGAAATAGTGTAATGACTGTAGCAAGACAATCTAGATATTTTTTTGATTTGTTAGTATTTCAAAATACAGTAAAAGCTCTGTTATCCGGCATCCCCCCAGAATGGGGGATGCCGGTTAATCAAATGTGCACCGTCTGGTCCACTCCCTGGTGTCAGTGTGCCGGGGGACAGGGAGGGGGGCCCTGCTCAGGCTGCTTTGCCCTGAGCCATGGGCCAAAGAAGTGGCAAGAACCCTGCTCAGGGTGGTGGCGAAACCCAGAAGTAGTACTTCCGGTTTTGCTTTTGCTGCATCCCTGTGATGCCAGTTAGTAGAGTTTTCTGGCTAATAAAGTGCCGTTTAACACAGCTTTTGCTGTATGCCCCATTTTATGATGACCTCCCACTTCTTTATGCCATTAGCATTACATGAATCTCCTCATAGTAACGACTTGTCTTTTACAGTGTCTTTGCATATAACAATTAAAAATAACCATTCAGCATTGAAAGAGGTGCCATGATTCAGTTTTCTCATCTGCTTCTGAAAAAAACAGCTTTCAGCTCCAAGCTCAGATGCCCAGATGCTTAATAGGTTGATTATAATTTGTATCTGTAGATGAACTTTTGTCATACTTGGCTCTTCAGTGTACTGTAGAATGCTCCAGACAAGTCCAGGGCCTTTAAAATAATCCTTTTCTTGATTTCCATAGGTGTTTATGGTGATGTACATCGCGTGAAGATAATGTTTAACAAAAAAGAAAATGCCTTGGTACAGATGGCAGATGCAACCCAAGCTCAACTAGGTATTAATTAGTAGAATTTTTTTCATTATTGTCATGTTTTATTTCTACTTGAAACTTCTCTTACAGTACCTAGTCTTGTTGACATGATCCCCAGTTTGCTGTTCAGAATTACTATTCAGCTACTACCTTTGATGTATTGAATGGTCACAGCTTTTATCTAATTAAATATTCTATTATGTCAGAAGTGTGAATCAACTTTTAAACAATCAAGCTAAAGCCGAAGTAAAAACGGGTGACAGACCGCAGCAGAATTCAGACTCTTGATGAAGCACATTTGTCCCCAGCAGATCAAAAATGTGCATTAAACTCATCTGCTTGTTAAGAATTCAGTTAGAGTAATGGGAATGCTGAATTATGAGTTGGCAAGGTTGGATTTCTGTTTGTAATAATACATTTTCTTTATTAAGATTTTTATTTGTTTTATGTACTGTTATGTGTAATTTATTATATTCAGTATATTTAATATGTTATGCAGTAGCCTGAGTGTAAAGTTATTTTACATGTAAATAGTGTGCTGCTTGTGCTAATGTGAGAAGAAATGTGTGTTTTTGGTGGTATTCAGAGGGAAAGTTTGTTTTGTTTGAGACTAGGACTATTGCGCTAGAATTTTTTAAAGTGTTTTCCTATTTAAATATAGACTAATATTCTGATCGTTCGAATCTTTGTAGGGCGGTACTTTTTAGAAGAATTACTTTATACTTTTATAACTTTTTTTATAGTTTATAGTTCATCCATTTATCTTGCTTTGAGGCTCTAAATGCAAGTTATAACAATTGTGAACAGCACTGTAAAGTTAGACCGAAGCTTACGTAACAGTATTGGTACTTACTATTTAAGTTGAGGCTCTAAATGCAAGTCATTAATGGCATTGCCACTGTTATCCTTTGGACAAATTTGAAACTAGTCATAGCACCTTCTGATGTTTTCTTTTTCTTGGACTTTTCTCCTGTTCAAACTTTTATTGGTGCTGCTTATATCTAGCCATGAGTCACTTGAATGGGCAGAGACTGTATGGAAAAGTGCTCCGTGCAACTCTTTCAAAGCATCAGACAGTTCAGCTTCCTCGTGAGGGACAAGAGGACCAAGGCCTGACGAAAGACTACAGCAATAGTCCTTTGCATCGTTTCAAGAAGCCTGGCTCGAAGAACTTCCAAAACATATTTCCTCCATCTGCCACTCTCCATCTTTCCAACATTCCGTAAGTACAGCTCACCTGGGACAGGACTGCTGTATTTTAATTAAAAAGCTAGGTCTTTAAGATTTGTAGATTAGCACAAGGTCTGAATATTCTTTCCTTGCCTCATTTGCTAAAAATTAGGGATTTTTTGCCAGGTTTCTGAAAACAGTAAGAATGGGCGGCAGTGTCTTTTTGTTGCTGTTCTAATTATAGAATTTATATTGTCCAACTCCTGTGACCAATGATATCTCTTTGCTGGTGAAGAGGACAAATTCAGTTTTAAGGTGACTACAGTCTTGGTGTGCTAAGTAATGACTGTTTCTAAGTCTCCTTCATATCCATTCATTTTTTTCACATCAAATTACACAAGACAGTCTGTGTGGCAGGCTAAGCTCAATTATTAGACTTTTCCATATATACACATTAGTTGTTGCATTATGCATTATCACTTCCACATAACTGTGCATGTTCTTGAAAGAATTTATTTTCAATACTAAGGCCATGGTATAACAAGGAAGATGGACATCAGTTCTTTCTAACCAGCTGTAACTAAGGTTGCTGACAGGTTAACCAACTGATAAGCCCAGTGATAACCTGGTTAGCTTACCATATATTGTTTAGGATATTGTTTAGTGCAGGGCTGGGTGAAGTCTGGTTAAAGGTACAATAAAATCTGATTCACAATCCATGGCACACGTGCATGGCAGGAGGTACTGTTGTGGGATCAGAAATCAGAGCCATATAGGGCCCTGTTGTTAGTTCTGGCAGAGCCCAGGATCTGATCCAGCAGTTAGCAAACTGAGCACCCAGTGAGCCTGTGGCTTGGAGCACTGCTCAGCTACTTGGCACTCAGCCTCAGGAGTGCACCGGAGCCCTTCAAGGCTTCAGGGTGTTCCCAAGGCTGGAATTGCTGGTCAGCTGAGGGACACTCCCAACCTTGAAAACGCCCTGGAGCCTTGAAGGGCTCTAACACACTCCTTAGGCTGGGGGTGCCAGTCAGTTGAGGTGGGAGTGCCAACTTAAGGTGCAATGAAAGCCAGCTACAAAGTTATTATGCTTACCTTGGGCACATCTACCTGAGATGTAGAAGGTGACGCTGTACTGTGCAGTAAAACATGTGACTGGGACTTACTGCACAGTAAATTAGGCTAATGCACCATTTGCTAGTACCAGGAAATACAGGTGCTAGATTAATGGTGCATTAGCTGCTGCACAGTAATGCACATGTAGATGCTGACCAAGAGCGATTTTTGTCACAGGCAGCAGGGAGCCTGCTGCTGCCTGGCTAAGCTCCAATGTGAGACATGGGGGAGGCAGGGGTGGAAGCTGTGACAGATGCAGGGGTAGCTGTCTCCCTGCCACGTGGGGATCAGGACCTGGTCTCATCCCCACGTGTCTGGGAAAGCTGTCCTGGTAGCCAGCACTTGTCCCAGCTATGCAGAGATCGATTGCCACATGGCTGAGCAGCAGAAATGTCCTAGCATCTGGGACCGTTGTGTCCCAGCCATGTGGAGATCGGCTGTTGGGACAGCTCTCCTCTGCCCTGTGCAGACCAGTCCCTGTACCCCCTGTAAGCCCTGGGCTGGCACCCATAGGAGCCTGGAGCTCCTTCTGGCTGCAGCAGTGGGGCAGAGGAGGAGAAGAGCAGCCCTAGACTGAACTGCTCTTTTTGGGCATGTCCAGTTTAGTGCACACTTGGCATTTCCCCTTGGACATATAGCAGTGGCACATAGCTGGAACTTTGCCAGCCTGCAAGGGAAAAGCCAGTTTCCCATGTTTTTCTCATTTAAAGGAGAATCCTTTTTTTAAAGTTTGTTGATCCATTTTTAAAGTTTGTTCAAGACCCTTTTTGAGTTGCAGCCCATGGCTTGAGAAACACTGTGCTAGAGTATCACAACCAGAAACTGTGCAGAAGAAAGATAAGGACATATACTAGGCAGGAATATTAATTGGTATGACAAAAAAAACAAGTCTGTCACAGACAAGCTTCTTTAACTTTGCTGCTATGCTTATATGCTGTAGTGTCTTAAAGGGGAGAAAGCCATAAAAGAATATTATTTTAAAATAAAAACTTTAACAAAGCGAGACAATTTAAAGAACTTTTTTTTCGTTTGACAGTGTTTATTTAAAATATACAAATTGAGTTGACTGTAACCCCAAAGCAAAAGGAGTTACTTAAATCAGATGCTAGGGTCTTGAATAAACTTTCTTAGTTCTGAACAAGAGAGCGGCTAAGGCGGAAGTACCTAAATTGTATAATGGAAACCTATAGAATATAGAATTTCTCAGCTTTATATAAGACTACTAAACAGTTGAAGCCAGATTTTGAGCAGATTTAATTTGGTCAAAGAAAATTTAGCCTTTAAACTTTATTTGGGAAGGCTAAAATAGAAGTTGAGAAGAGCACAGTATGCATAAAGTCCATAACAGAATTATAATTAATTATTTGATATTCTTTTTTAATTAGACCTTCAGTTACTGTTGATGATCTGAAGAACCTCTTTGCAGGTACTGGATGTACTGTGAAAGCGTTCAAATTCTTCCAGTAAGTCCTCTCATTCTCAGTGTATTAAATTATTTAAATATAAAATTTTCATAGGATGATTTATCCTGAAGGACAATAGATTGTTTTAGGAATAGAAACTAAAAGATGAGGAAATTACAGGCACATGGCTTACATATCTAGCCACCCTTCAGGTGAGTTCTGGCAAGTTGTTAAACAGTACAGCCTAACAGTATATAACATTTAGGACCAGAAAAGAAAAACGCAGTATCCAATTAGTGTTCCATGGGAGTTTTAAATGTGGGGAAATAATTGCTCAAACTGGAATTTGCTTAGGTTAGTTGGACTAATACCCCTGTTCTTTAAAGGAGGAAAAAGCAAACAAACTAGGGGAAGTATAAGGTTTCATTGACAAAATGGTCTCTCTTAACAATATAATATCCTGTGGTGCTATTATGGGGCACTGTTTGAGTACTGGGGCAATGGTAAGAATGACATTTTATTCATGGCTAACACCTAAATGCTTCTTGAAGGTCTTGCAGCTATGTACTAGTCCTGCTTAGCTTTTGAGGTGTGACAGGGTCACGGAACAGTGGGATGGCTGCAAACCATTGGCCTTCAAAAGGCATGTAGTTCTGTCCGCTTCTGTTCCTGTTCTTGCAGGTGCAGCTTAAGTTCTAATTCTTATTACACATAATATTCAGCAGATGAGACTAACTGAAAAATTCTAATAGATTTTGGGTAATGGTAATACATATTTGTTAGAATTAATTGCATCATTCTACTGAATTTCAGGAAAGATCGTAAAATGGCTCTCATCCAGTTGGGCTCTGTGGAAGAAGCAATTCAGGCTCTCATTGAGCTTCATAATCACGACCTTGGAGAAAACCATCACCTCAGAGTTTCTTTCTCCAAATCTACAATCTGACATTTCTGTGAACTTTCCTTTTAAGACTGCACCACAGTTTCAGTAAAACCTTCAGACAGAGACTGAAGCAGCTACGACCAACTCTGCCTCTTAAGAAAGAAAAAAACAAAACTCACGCTGAGTTTGATGATCATGTGTATTCGTACACATAGTAAAAAATTCAAGGGATGATCTTTTCCATTTTTTTTGCCAGTATGTGGTCAAACGTTTAATACTCCTCCATAAGCAGTTTCTTCTGTGGAATTAATCTTTAGCAACAATACTTACAGTAAAACTCCCTATTTTGAATTATATTTCAGGAGCATCCTTTTAGTTTTTGTTCCAAATCAGCCTTACACAACATTTCTTAAGGCTCTTTAAATTATACCAGGCCAAGATTGTTTCTAATGAAATGCTAAATCTACTCCCCCTCTGTATGGATTAAACACTAATATGAATGTGAAATAGCACTTGGGTTTCTTAGTGAAAAGTCAGCCTTTACAATGAATGTTCATTGAAAAATATATATATTATTGAATAATGGCTTTTATTTTGGCAGATCTGAATAGTGTGCTCTCTTTTTGTTAAATTAGCAACTTTTCACAGAGTTAAAATTATCAGAGGCAAGGCAGTGCAGTGCCTTCTTTTTCCCTTAATAAAATCAAAGTAAATTAATTGACACACAAGATCCTTTTGAGGTATGGTATCTGCCACTTGTAGCTTGGAATTAAATCATGGAATCACGTTCATATTTTTTCATTTTTACTATAAAATGATGTTGTGTAATACGACTTTGGAGAAATTGAAAGGAGAAAATAGTCCTGACTTCAAATAGTTTTTTACATTTCTTTTTAAAAAATGTTTACAGTCTTAAGGAAAATATTCAGGTCTGTCATGGTTTGACAAATTTTTAAAAAGTTATTTTTGGTAAGGTCTTCTTTTAAAAGAAATTTAAACCTCAAGGGTTTTTTGTACCACTATAATCTCTAATACTTAAATCAGAATGACTGTGTATTTACTTAATTTCTTATTACGTGCCTTATTATGTGCTTATAATGATACAATAGCTTAGAGTTTTATCTAAAGTATCTTGAAAACTGTATTGTGGGCTTGGTGAGAGAGTTTTCTTGATCTATTAGGTTTTTTTAATGTTTTCCTTGTGATTTTTAATTTTTTTCAATAAGTAATAGTCTGAATTCAAATTTTTGGTGCTTTGGTGTAGATTGGGGAGGTGGGAATGAGGATAACTAGTGCACAATCCTGTAGGCCTCTTCACATTTACCTGGGTGCAGTTGGCTGACACCTATATTGGCTGTAAATGATTTTGTTTCTGGATTTTTTCCTAATCTCTTTTGAGCCATTGGCTCTCAAAATATTTTCTCAGGATTCCTGTTTTTCCCCCTATATACTGAGCTCGAAGTACTAAAGAGTGAACTTGATTTCCTACATAAATATCATGACTTCAATACTGAATGTCCACTTCTCTTAAGAGAGCAAGTTAAGATGCAATTACTATTTTTTGTTGAATGTAGGTATGAATTTTAAAGTTATTTCTGTGATTGTGTTACAAAATGTTAAGTTTTTTTGGAAGGAAATTTCCTTTTCTTGAAGTTTGTCCACATAAATTTGATCAAGATTTTTTGAAGAGGTATCCCTCTCAAACATAATGGTTGTTTGTTTCTGCTTGTTAGAACTGCTTCAGAAATAATTGCAGATGTAGAGCTTTTGCTATAATGGTTTGTTACTCATTCACCTTGGTTTTTCATTAAGCATATATGTTCTTCCCATACTCCTAGTTGTGGATTAGCATACTATGAGAATCCTGTAAAGATTGAACTCACCTAGAAAAGGTGTCCATCAACCTGAGTAACCATTTTGAGACAGAAGTCAAAGATAAATTATCTCAAATATTTCTGTAGAGCAGTAGGCTAAAGAGAAGGACACTAGCTTGCCTTTACTTACTTAAATATCTTTGTGAAGCACAGTACATGATGATGAAGTTGGCAAAACTCTCCATTTTCCTGCAATGTACTCATACCATTTGATAAAGCATGCACACTAGGAAGTGTGTACACCATGAAGAAACACCTATAAATAACTTTCCTTACCAAAAAGAGAGTAGTATAAAAGGTGATTTGTCGGCATTTCAGAGTCTTTCTCCTTCCATTTGTCCAAATAGGTGATTTCACCTGGGAAAATTTCAAGCCAGTTTATTCACAAAAAGGTTTAGGGTACCTTTGGTCCATAACACTATCTTAAGTTTTTGAATTAGCATTATTTTATCGTAATGTAGTGTGCAGGACCCTTTATTTGCAGATGGGTCCTTATTCAACAAGGAAAGTACTTACCATATATTTTAAGCATATGTTAATTGCCTTCCTGATCCAGAACCATAGTAAAGGTGCTTCCTTACTGCACTTAAGATGGTTGCAAAACTTATTTGAATGTTACCTGAAAACCTTGGCCATGGGGAGGGTTTTGTTTGTTTTTTGTTTTTAAAGAATTGCTGCTACAAATGAGATGAATTGAATTGTATTGGAGTTGAATGTAATTATGAAGCAGGGAGAAGCAACCTTAAGTTTGAGAGTTAGTATTGGCATGTATAATATCAAGTGAAGTGTGTATACTGTGTGTATAATATGCTGTATGTGTGTACAGACATACACATTACATGTATTTTAATTTATTGATTCTGATAACAGAAGATAGGGATGTTTGAACTAATTTAAACAGATGAGGGATTTATGGTGTGATATTAAAATGGGAGGAAGAACAAATATTTGATTTGTTAACTTTAAAAATGTAGCTACATTTAGTATATGAATAATGTCAGTTCTGGACTATTTGCAGTTTGAATTGTAGAGGCCTACAGTTTATATGTTGGCACATATTTCTAAAATACTGTTTCTTTAAGAGAATAATTTGGGGTGGCAGATATTTCTAATCTTCTGTGAGCTTTTTTTGTCTCACAGTATATCTTCTATCTTATCCTGTGTCATCTGTGTAAGTCATTTTTTGCTATTCATTTGTAGTGAGTTACCCTGCTGAGTTTATTTTAGGTTTATGTACTTTTGTAAGGATGCCGTCTGCATGTCTGTCTCTTAAGGAGTTCTCTGTTTTGACAAGAGGTGCGGACATGCAACAACCTACAAAAATAGTACATGGTGTTTGCTTTTAAAATGCTGGTTTAAGTGAAACTTATATCAAGGTTGGTTTGCACCTAGTCCCTCTCTTAAAGTAGGAATCAGGGCACATTAGCATTATTTTATCGTAATGTAGTGTGCAGGACCCTTTATTGCAGATGGGTCCTTATTCACTTATACTTTGTGCTCTCTGTTAAGTGTCTAGCTGCAGAAGTCCCTTTGTGGTTGGGACCCTGACTCCACCAGAAGCAGCTTTGCTGGCAGATCCTGCACATATCTGTATGTGCAGGATCAAAGCTTCTGGAAGGACGTGGTATTTAAAATATAGATATCTAGTTGCTTTTTTAAATCCCTGGTAACGCATGTATTTCCCAATTCCAGTTCTAATGCAGAGTGCTGGAGCAAGCTTATTTCTGACTTTCAGGTACCAAAAACGTTCAGAGGCAGAGGGTTTTTCTCCATTTTGGCTTAAGCACGGGGGTTGTTTAGTTTTTTGTTTTGCTTTTTAAGTCAAGGCCACATCACTGTAGGAGCTAAATAACAATTTCCTTCCCCCTGGTCTTGAGTTTGGAGTGCTTAGCCTGTATCTTCTGCAAATCCAGATCAGCACTGGTAAACATTTGCCCCCTTTCTTTCTTATCCTAAGTGCAGCCACACTTTAAAGCTTTGTTCATCATGGAGCAACTGAATTAGAGGTTGAAAGTGCCTTTCATAGTGTCACGTGATCCTCTGTATAATGGCACTTGAATGGTCATGACTTCATTTAGTGTCTAATTTGGTAAATTAACTGAACCTTACTGCAAAGCTCTGAAACTTTTAAACTACTTTTCAAACTTTTTTTTCACTTAATTTGATTTTATTGCCTTATTTGTTCTATCCGTTGCACTCTTCGTTGTGCACTTGAAATACTGAAGCCCATTCTGTGCCTTCTGATGAGAGTTGCTTGTGTGGCATTTCCTAACCACAGACTGAAAACATCTGTATGGGGGGGAAGGGGAGTACTTGCCACTTCTGGAGGACATGTGCCATCATGGAGACTCAGAGATCAGTGAGTTTATCCCCCTCTGCTACCATTTAGGTGGACAGAAAAGTAAGAATGTGTGGGCATTTGTTTGAGTCACACACCTGAGTCTTAACTCTCTTAACGTCTGTTCCTAGATGCATACCAATATGTACTGCTGTTTTTTAAACTAGAAAGGAAGGGTGCAACTTGATTTAAAGCCATTTTTGTTTGCCTTTTACTTTTTGTCTTGGTCTGTTGTTAAATAGAGCAAAACTTTAAATATTTTACTATTGTGCTGAGAGAAAACAGTTCAGATTGTACACTGTTTTTTCTGTGGTATACAAGACTGTTCTCAATCTTTTTCTTTCCTGGAGAAAATCTTAACCATGAGAAGTTGTGAACTATTTCAAGAAATAATTGAAAATTTCTAAACTATTTAATTTCAGGGTTTTTTGGAGGGAAAAAACCAAAACGGGACCAAAGTTTATGTGCCTTCAATAGTCTTAATTGTAGTTTTTTTCCTATCTATTGCAGTCTTAAGTAGAATCAATATTCTTGTTTTCAGGAAAATGTGTATTTATACAGTTAAAAATGAATGTTGTCCCACTGACTCTCCATATTTGCAGTGAATTTTAACTTTTAGTACGGTTTTAGTTATCCCTTTGCCTTTACCATTGCAATATTCATTGTACTGCATTATGCAGAAAGCCAAGAATAATCCATATATTGCTGGTTTCTGATGATTGACAGCTTGCAACTGGCGGAGTCCCCAAGAAGTGAGACACCTTGTATTTGATGGTCCTTGATAATAAAAGTGAAGGAAAGCTTGTATTTCAGTAGCCTGTCAGCGCTATAAGCATTTTTTTCAGTTCTTGGAAACTGTGAAGCATTTGAGTAGAAATCTTACCACCTATATGTCTACAATTAGTCTAAGCACATTCTAGTTCTTTTATTCTTTTGATAAATTACCCAGTTCCTGCAAAAGTTCATCCCAGACCCACAGCAGCACAAGTCATAATGGTTGCTGACCAAGCAAATTTTTACATTAGAATGTCACCTCATTGCTCTGACCAAAGACTGTCTGTTCTGGTTTTACTGAGACATTCTGTGAAAACTTGTTTTCTCTCAAGCTCCTCTCTGAAAGAAGACCCAGTGCAAAGTGGCCTTTTATTTGACTCTACTATGGGTGGACGGACCACTTGGTGGAAAATGAGATTTTAATGTGAACCAAATGGTGTGGGATAAGGCAAGGGGTTAATGGACTATTTTTAGTACTGTATTCGAGAAAAAAATAGCACGGCTAGGAATCACTGACATTCCCTCATTTCTCATGATCTGTTCAAAAAAGTCCCTTTTCAGTTTGTAAGAATGTTCATCTAACATGAGAAATGCTGTAAATATTTGTAACAACATTTTTTACCTGGCAAAAAGGTTTTTGGGAACAAGTTAAAGTATAAAATGGTTTTTATATAAAAACATCAATTGTCTTGTATATTTTGATAAGCAACAGTACCAGCTTTCATTTGTAAAGCAGTTTGTGGCATTGGAGGGAAAGGATTCCATGTCTGTTAAGATGACTTATGTTATAAATGCAAAGATGATGAAATATTAAAGAAACCTATTTTCTAACTGCGTAGTGCATGGTTAATTTGAACTTGTGTACTCTACAGTATATTCCATTTCTTTTAAGTTTGTGTATTTGCTGAGTATTACTTGAGTATCTATACTTAACTCTTTTTCCTAACAACTCTAGTTGTTGTAGCATGCCTTTTAATAAATGTCATTACATCTGTACTCTCTTAAATTTTCCTGCGTTCTTGTCTATTGCTTTGGGTTTTTCCTTGTCTTTTAATTGTAAAGCTAATGATGTCTTTTTTTTCTTTTTTTCTTTGTTTCCTTAGCCTATTTGGCCATCTACACTTAATCTCTTTATATTATTAATAAAAATATTGAATGTGTTCAACACACTTTCAAGAAAAATACATATGCTAATGGAATATTTTCATGAAGTTTCTGTACTGTGTGCAAAACCCATTATCAAGCTGAAGTTGGAGGTGATAGGTTCGTGACAGTATGTAATTTAAGGAGGAGACAAGCTTTCTGTGCTAAAGCATCCTTTAGCTAATTTGGTGACAGTTTAACCCTCCTGTTTCAATCTGTTTCAGCTGCTGAATCTAAGCAGGCAACTTTAGAAAGGTCTAATGTTCCCACTAAAATGTTGCTAAGCACTTTCAGTATCAGACCTCAGACTAAGTGTATAACAGTAGAATTGAGCATGTTTAATATAAATATTGCTACTTGTGATTCCTGATAAAACATGGCACGCTGTCTATCCTAGCGGACACGTCTAGTGACTAGTTTGGGGTGGGTTGCACTTCTGCAGAACAAAATGCTTCTTCTCCAGTGGGTAGGTAGGTTTAGCCTCATCTAAGGTAACTCCTAATTCTGTATATGACTCCTAGATACTAGTGACAAGCTCTTTGGGATAAGTTGTAGTTCAAGAAATCCTGGGACCACCATTAATAGTTTGCAGCGTCTGCAACATTTTGTTGCCAAACCCCATGATCCCAAGTTGCTGGAAGAAGAAAAAAGACTTTTTCTGGCCCTGAAAACACAATTTTTCTTTCAATATATAAAGTTTCCATGAATCCCTTTTAAAACAAGGAATCCTTGCTGGTGAGCTGGTAAACTTGTCCTCCGAGTATTATAGAACTACAACCTGAATTTTTGCAAATCACACCAGCCTGATCTGGTGATTACTGCTTGTGAACATGCCAGCAGTCAGTATGAGTACATGTACTACAGGGATCAATCCCAAGAATGCCCTATAGTAATACCCTGCCTGAAGTATCTTAGTGAAAAACCCTCATCCAGCTTTTTCATACAGCTATGTAAAGGAGTTGGAGATAAGTTGTTATGGCATGCGGGAAGCTTGCAAATAGCTCAGGTGCATCATCACATGCAGAGCACTACTGTTCAGCTGAAGGAACAAACATAAATGCCAGCCATTTTCTATCAACGATAGGTGAGCATCAGGATGGGAGAACAAGAGCTGAAAGTGGAAGCAATAAAGTAAATATGTTAGAGTGGGGTTTGGGAAATGAAGATGAGGACTAGGGTTGGGAGGAAGAGGGGAAGTGAATGAAAATATGAAAGTACAAAGGAAAAAAGGAATTGGGGTTGGTTTTTCTGCCCCCTGTACCTCAGCCTTCAGACTTTCTTGTGTACTTCCTAAACTCTATTAAAACACTTCCCTCTCTGCCCCATTTGTAAAAATGCCCAGCTTTTCTAATCTGAAGTTTCACTAAATGTATCCTTTTCATATAAACAGTGTGTTGTAACTATCTGCAGTAACTCAAATACTGGAAATCAGAGGGGTCTTGCATGTAGATGCATCACTTCTACCTAAGCCTCTTGATAGTTACCCTTGCAAAGCTGATGCTTCATTCTGAAGGATGCATGCACTCTCACTGGCTCCCAGTAAGGCATGAGGAAGTAAACACTGAAGAAAGAGATTTCTTAAAGAAATACTCCCACTCATGCTATACAGTTGAGAACCCTTTGTACTAAGGCACGGTGTAGACCCAAGTAAGAAAGTCTGCATCAAAAAGTATAGTCTAACGAAGGTTTAAAAAAAAAAAAAATAGTAGTTCAGGTCAAAGAGCCTTTTTTTTTTTTTTTCTTTCCTGAAATGTAAGCTAGCTGGACAAGTAACATTTTTATCCAGCAAAGTTTCCACAAGCTCAAACTTCAATAAATTTCTGGCAACAATTTCTACATTTGTTATTTGTGTTCAGACCATGCCTCAGTTGGTTATGTTGTGTATATTAGGCTTGGGTTTA